CACATCACATAGCATACCCTGCAAAAACAAGTTAGACGTCCTCTAATTGTTGTTGCATGTTTTACGTGGCTGCTATGGGTTTCTAGCAAGAACGTTTCTTACCTACACAAAAGCCACAACGGTGATATGCCAATTGCTATTTACCCTTCATAAGGACCCTTTTCATTGAATCCGATCCGACTAAAGTGGGAGAAACTACCACCCGCTAGCCACCTTTATGCAACAAGTCCATGTCAGTCGGTGGAACCTGTCTCACGTAAGCGTACGTGTAAGGTCGGTCCGGGCCGCTTCATCCCACAATACCGCCGAAACAAGATAGGACTAGTAACGGTAAGCAAATTGAACAAACCAACGCCCACAACTACTTGTGTTCTACTCGTGCATAGAATCTACGCAATAGACCTAGCTCATGATGCCACTGTTGGGGAACGTAGCAGAAATTCAAAATTTTCTACGCATCACCAAGATCAATCTATGGAGATTCTAGCAACAAGAGAGAGGGGAGTGTATCTTCATACCCTTGAAGATCGCGATGCGGAAGCGTTACAAGAACGCGGTTGGAGGAGTCGTACACGCAGCGATTCCGATCGCGGTTGATTCCGATCTAAGCACCGAACAACGGCGCTTCCGTGTTCAACACACGTGCAGCCCGGTGACGTCTCTCGTGCCTTGATCCAGCAAGGAGGAGGGCGAGGTTGGGGAAGACAACTCCATCAGCAGCACGACGACGTGGTGGTGGTGGAGCAGCATGGTTTCCAGCAGGGCTTCGCCAAGCACTACGAGGAATGAGGATGTGGAGAGGTAGGGCTGCGCCAAGAGAGAGAGAGAGAGAGAGAGACTCGTATCTTTGGCATCCCCAAAAACCCCACCATATATAGGAGGAGGGGACGTGGCTGCGCCCCCATCTAGGGTTCCCACCCTAGGGGTGCGGCAGCCCTAGATGGCACTTGGAGGGGGCGGCCAAGAGGGGGAGAGAGGGGGGCGCGCCCTAGGGTGGGCCTTTAGGCCCATCTGTGCCCAGGGTTTCCCCTCTCCCCTCCTAGTTGTGCCTTGGGCCTTGGTGGGAGGCGCACCAGCCCACCCAGGGGCGGCCCATGCAAGCCTCCGGGGATGGTGGCCCCTCCCGGTGGACCCCCGGAACCCTTCCGGTGGTCCCGGTACATTACCGGTGACGCCCGAAATACTTCTGGTGGCCAACACCTCACTTCCTATATATTATTCTTTACCTCTGGACCATTCCGGAACTCCTCGTGACATCCAGGATCTCATCCGGGACTCCGAACAACATTCGGTAACCACATACAAACTTCCCTTATAACCCTAGCGTCATCGAACCTTAAGTGTGTAGACCCTACGGGTTCGGGAATCATGCAGACATGACCGAGACAACTCTCCGGCCAATAACCAACAGCGGGATCTGGATACCCATGTTGGCTCCCACATGTTCCACGATGATCTCATCGGATGAACCACGATGTCGGGGATTCAAGCAATCCCGTATACAATTCCCTTTGTCAATCGGTACGTTACTTGCCCGAGATTTGATCGTCGGTATCCCAATACCTCGTTCAATTTCGTTACTGGCAAGTCACTTTACTCGTTCCGTAATGCATGATCCCGTGACCAACTACTTTGTCACATTGAGCTCATTATGATGATGCATTACCGAGTGGGCCCAGAGATACCTCTCCGTCATACGGAGTGACAAATCCTAGTCTCGATTCGTGCCAACCCAACATACACTTTCGGAGATATCTGTAGTGTACCTTTATAGCCACCCAGTTACGTTGTGACGTTTGGTACACCTAAAGCATTCCTACAGTATCCGGGAGTTGCACAATCTCATGGTCTAAGGAAATGATACTTGACATTAGAAAAGCTTTAGCAAACAACTACACGATCTTGTGCTATGCTTAGGATTGGATCTTGTCCATCACATCATTCTCCTAATGATGTGATCCCGTTATCAATGACATCCAATGTCCATGGTCAGAAAATCATAACCATCTATTGATCAACGAGCTAGTCAACTAGATGCTAACTAGGGACATGTTGTGGTCTATGTATTCACACATATATTACGGTTTCCAGTTAATACAATTATAGCATGAACAATAGAAAATATCATGAACAAGGAAATACAATAATAACCATTTTATTATTGCCTCTAGGGCATATTTCCAACACATTCCTCGCATATGCATACAGAGTATACTTATCATCCCGCGGCTTCCTCGGCTTTAGGTCGAAGTCACGCAACTAAATAGGTTGAGGTGCACCGGGGATCTATGATGTGTCGATCTCATCATGCGTGTGCCCCTCATCCTCGTCGTCCTCGCCATCTCTGGAGTCCTCAAGAGAGCCTTGTGCATCTCTTAACGAGGACCTCGACGGGGGTAGGCACGATGTTATCGATGAAGCGATGGCCTAGAAGAGCGCCTACCCCATGTGCACAAGACTTTGTAGATTGTAAAATTGACAAATCATCAAGTTAGAAGACATGAACATTGAAAAACAAGTATGGAAATAAATTTATACCATGTCATACCTCAACAAAAGCGTTAAGGGTGTTGTAGGACTCTTCACCTGGAGGGTGCCTCGGTACGTCGCCAGCATCGTTGACATGCTTTTAGAGCTCGGATTGCTATGAAAACAACAATCTAAAACATTTTCTGCTCAAGTTATGCTTGTACATATAGATAATGGAAAACTTACCACAAAGCGGACAATCGGCATCGACTCTGTCCGTCAACCGTCTCTGATGAGCTTGTTGTATTGGCCATGCGATCGGTTCACACAATATGTCAATGCATGCAAGTTCAGGTGAGTACGAGCAATGGGACGAAACCACATGAGGTTATTGAGGTAGCACTTGAGTGCTTCGGTATCAAAAGGCCACGGGACAAGGCGAGCACATGCTTTTACCATAGAGCGAGCGTCATAGGCTCCCGCCCTCACCGCCAACCCAAGCCACTAGCACCAACAGGGGAACACCGCCGGGCAACGAGTGGGTACACAAGGAAGGAGCCACACAGTTCAAACACCGACAGCCAGCAAGCACGTTACCCAGCGAAACACCCCCAAAGCATACAAATAGTCTACCCCAAAGAAATACTCCCTCCGTTTCTAAATATTTGTCTTTCTAGAGATTTTAACAAGTGACTACATACGAAGCAAAATGAGTGAACCTACACTCTAAAATAAGTCTACATACATCCGTATGTTGTGTCCATTTGAAATGCCTAGAAAGACAAATATTTGAGAACGGAGGGAGTAGGAACGAACACAATTTCATGTAGACACCAGCCAGATACGACCAGCCAGATGGAACAGGCAAAACTCCATGCGGACAACGGCCGGATAAAACGAACAAGACAGAGCGAACACAACTCCACGCAGACACTGGCCGAATAGGACTAGCCGGGCACGAGCCAAAAGGAATGAACCCACCTTATCCAACCACATCAAGACGCCGTCTCCGCAACGTCTCCCAACACGCCGACCCGAAGAACCAGTCGGGTGGGATCTAAGAAAGACACACGAGCCATCCGACACGCGCACGCACAACTGGGCATGCTCCCTGCACGGCAACCGCTTTTACCCGGTGGAGCAAACATCATACGCCGTCAGACAAGCGAATGAAACGGTACACGCAAGTCGAGGGGCGCGAGCCCCAGGGCCACGTGTCATGGACCCCGAGGGTGCCGGCTCGATGAGGAACGCCCGGGCCCGATCGAGCGCATGCAGGATGCTAGGGGCATCGGCGCAAGGCGCGCGCAAGCAAGGATGACTACTCCAGCATCGTTTATACGAGTAACTATAATTTCATGGGTATATAAATATTCTAGTAGATTAGCATGTGATTACCGGCCCATATTAATGTGGTTACGTAAAATATATATCTTATTTGGTAACACTTATTGACTTACCAAAAGAAAAAAGCAAAATTTATTTGGTAAGTAAACAATAGGCAGGGTAGCGAGGAAATAAAATTAAAATAGATAGACAAATGTAGGGAATATAGGTAAGGTTCGACGATATACTTGTATCGAAAACGTTCTTATATTATGGGACGGAGGGAGTACAAATATTTTTTTTTAGAAAAGTTCATTCGTTTTCTTTTTTTAGGGAAAAGTTCCTTCGTTTTCGACGTGTGTGAAACTTGTGTGGAACGCGAGGCACTATTCCAACGGTCACTAGACGAGTCGGGACGAAATGTGGCAAGTTGCATCGCGT